TCTCCCTCCTTCCTCGCCTCTCCCCCCACATTACAACCAACACATGTTTCCGTCAAAATAGTTTTTAAGGCCATGTTAACTCATGCTGAAGGCAAGTCAGTAACCTATCTACAATATAAATGCATAATAATCCCTATGTTTTAAATATGCTATTTTTGCTGGTAATTGAAATCCACTACATTAAATCCACATGTGAATTACACAACAAATGATTGTTTCGTTAGCAAATATGCAAATTTCTCAGGAAATTAAAGAGAAAAATTATTGAATTTACAGAATATTTTCCAACATTATTACATGTGTCGATTTAAGCAATGATTTAGTACACCGGATAAAATACAAGCAACTAGCATCAACAACACCTGTTGTTTTGTACGTCTGCGGCAAAGCCGATTTAAAAACAAAAGGAAATTTTCTTTCACTGTTATGCTATACTTCAAAACAATTTGATAACTATAAGCACAGATATCAGTCGATCACCATTTCTGATTATGAAGGCTCAATAAAGAATAATGTTCAGGCTATTCTAATTATTTAAATCACTTCTATCTTCTTCTCAGGTGGACAAGAATGTGTTAATACTTCAATTCTTATCTTTAAAACACTTTACCTATACTTTACCCTTCGCTTCTATGAAACAGAATTTATGTAGATAGAGGAATTCAACAACCATCATCTTTGTTTGTTTACAATATAACCCATCTTTTTTTTTATTGATAGACCATCCACAGATTCAAACACTAGCAACGATGTGAGTTGTTTTCATTCAACTCATTAACATCACAAGATCTTTTGTTGCGCAAGGTTAAGAGGCTTGTAAAAAGGTGGAGCATTGTGACGATTTATTTTAATAACACAATTACAAGGTTATCACAAGATGTCATTTGGTCATACATAGACTGATGGCGTGTTGATAATAATATGAATATATCGGAAGATAACATTGTAATCATATGACTAATATTTCTGAACTATGGTTATTAATCATCATGCTAGTAAATCTTAGACAATATAGCAGAAAAGATCTTGTTAAGCATGAGAACGCCACAAGACTTGTTTTGATTCTAAATCGTGATCTATTCTCTAAAGGCATGTTTCCCTCGACCTGTGTAACCATGGTAGTTAGGGTACTGGCCCGGTGATGCGAGCAAATGATCAATACGCTATTTGCAGAGCATATCCAGTGTTCTAGCACACTCACTCTTAAAAAGATCTCAGTATTAATTTGCATCTATATCTATCATACATATACATATGATGTCTTAAGCTTTCTGATGATCTGACATTTAATTACACTTATTTGCATTTATGAGTTTTTATCCTTGAGATATCCTATCAAAATATTAAGAATTAACATCATTGTTTTCTGCAGAAACTTAGATAAACTGTAAGGCTTAAGCACCACAGTCGACACCCAGCATGCCTGTGTACGTATCAATAACCCCCCCCCCCATTGGACATGACAATGTGTTGCTTTATTGAAACCTACATTTATATAATAATTTTCTCTATAAAAAAGCATATCTTCAGCGAAAGCTCACACGAACTCGAAAATGCAGGTGTATAAAGTATTATTATACATCCGTCACCATAACACCATAAGTTACAGTGTGTCGTAGTATTTTACAAGGTATTTTCATCCTACCATATTAGGAAATGAGAATTCCAAATATGGAATGATTATGCAAGTAAGCGCCTTCTAATAATAAAAACAAACAAGGCTGCCACTGGGGTTTGATCATTTCCACACAAAGAAGATCGCTGATTTGTTCTCAACATTTTTGAACCTCATATTATTTTGACCATAGAACACTCCTGACATCAACGTTAACCACATGCACTCTAATAGAGAAAATACTGTAGTTGTTTTAAAATTAGCAAATCCCTTTCCATAAAATTGCAACCTTCTTTTCAAATACAATTTAAATTAAGTAAACTTTATTTATAAACTGAAATTTACAGTTTGACATTACACTTGAGTATTTTAAACACCTTCAAATTGATCTGCAAGTGTTATTTCATTTCAAGTTCATTTTAGAAATTTCATTCAGTTGATATACAAAGACTCAGAAAAAAAAATTATTAACAGTGAACATGAAGTACAGAGAAAGCAATAAATACGAAAGTGTTTGAAAGAAATTCTCATAGCTATCGGTACATGTATTTGTTTGTTTTTTACAGATTGTGATGGACAAAGGTTATAATGCTGGTGTGTTGTGTTACGGCGTAGTCAAGGGAGGACACAATAGTCTGTCTCTTGAGATGACCTACCTTTGCAGTCTTATAAATAGGCATTGTTCAAAAAACTTTTCATACAAGTATCTGCAAGCATGCTGTGAATGCAGATGAATTGAAATGCATTTGGAGAATTTGAGTTGCATAAAAAAAGTTGTATATCACCTTTATAAGTTTGTCTAGATTTGAAATTGATAGTGTTGCTAGTCTTACTGAAGAAAGAATAAAGCCCACAGGAAATGAAATGTATTAATCTGAAACTGTAGCTTACAACAAAAATAAATTAAAAATGGTTTTATCTGAGGCCGATTATCTGGATCATACCAATGACAATCTATATAACTACTGGTATAACATTACAATGTTTACTTCCAGGCCTCCTAAGTACATAAAGAGTAAAAATGAATAAAAAGGCAAAAATAAAAAATAAAGATTAAATTTTGTTGAAAAAAGTTGATCAATATTATTAAATAAAAAAATAAGACAGACAGAGAAGCATGTGCTCAGCGGACACAATGAATTGGAGCTTGGCATGTAACAAACTATTGCATGTATTCACATTCCAAGGTCATCTTTGTTATTCAACAGTATACCGGGTACTGTAAAGCACTTTATTTTCACTTGGAATTAATTTTTTGCTATTTGGATAAATCAGCAAAAATCATTTTTTATTTTCTATATTTTATATTGAAAAAATTCACACAAAACATTACAAATTTTACAGTAGATGATAGAAAACAACAACTCTGGTATAATATATGTCAAATTGAACTTTCTATACACTTCTGCTAATTATAATTTCATAATTTATTTATTTACATTTGCATCCATTTGCATAATTATTCCTGGTAGAAATTGTGATGATGAACCTACTGAAGTACTCAATGCACAAAAGTATTAACTCAAGTTTTTGCAAAGTATCATTTGATTTAAAAAGTCACTATGGGAATCAGTACTGCCACAGTGTTTGTATCCTGAGAAGAACGTCTTTGACAATTGTATCTTAATTTGATTTAAATAAAAACATGTGCTTGTAAAGTAAGGAATTTAGTACTATTATATGACTTTGAAAAATCTTACACCTCGATAAACAGGTATTGTCAGTGTTCTCACATTGTGAGATTTTCTGGTCAAGGCTGAAGTCATGCAACCTGAAGGACAGCAAGCAAACACAC